GAGCTATAATCAAGACTAGAATTTCATCATTCATAGTTACAACACTTACTTGAACTAAATTCCTGTTAAAATTAAAGACCTTTCATCCATTTGAGGGAACAAACTCTGAGCGAGGGAAGGGATGACGCTACAGAAGGAAGTGTTTCCTGGGCACTCAGTTTGAAATAGAGGAGCTGCTAGTAAAATATGTACTTAAGAAAGGATATGACTAATATGATTTGTATGGGAGAAGCAACAAGCAGAAGCTAATGCAGTTTTTTATCCATCTATATGATAATAGGCAATTAATGTCAGTTGCGCTATTTTTTAAACCAGGTTTTTATATTGTTTATTTAAAGAAGGAAAGAAAGAAAAGAAAGTGACATAGAGCAGCATGCAAAATACTATTTCAGTCTAAATATCTAGTTAAATAATTTCTTATTTCAGTAGCCAACAAAGTTATTAAATTCAAAATGAGGCTTGCATATGCTTCAGAATTTATAATTGTGAAAAAATGCACGTGCACAGACTGTGTGCTTGAATTTGCCTTAATGGATAAGCAGAGCACCAGAATTAGGTTCAAAACATTTTTGTCAGCATTATGTTTCTGTCATTTAAATTGTCATGCAGCTTTTTCACCATGTCCTGAATTTCTGGTGCCGAGGATTAAAAAAACAAAAACAGGAGGCATCTGAGAAATTAAGTATCCTTATGTCTGTTGTTTCTCCCAACTATTCTATAGTGGTATCAGTGGTAAAGTTTGTGTAATGAACAGGTATGTGTAGGTTATGGAAAAAATTTGGGTTAGAAGGTACTTAGCTATCTGTTTTTGTGTTTCTAATGCCTCTTACCACCTTACAGCCTATTAGCCAGCTCAGTAGTATGTAAGTTTCCATGGCACTGAATGAATGTCACGTGACAGAAAATAAAGGTTAATTGTTTGAAGGATGGACATGTTTTGCTGTGTGTAAGAGAAAGCATAAAAAGAAAATTGGCATTATTGACAAAAGGAATATTTGCAGAACCCTCCTGGCTGCAGGGTCGTCTCCCGCCGCCCCTATCCCCCCCCCACTCCCATATTCAATTTTGAGACAAAGTAGCCATGGCTGCTTTCTCCTTAATCTAGCTCCTGATCCTGTCTTGGGTCTGTGAACATGAACCCCTCCCCTATGGCTCTAATTGGGCATGGGGGTCCACGTGAGTGGATCCCAATGCAGGATCAGGGCTGACGTGAGGAAAAGTAAAGGAACATCTCTGGCTTTGGGAGAGACAGTAGGGGAGAGCATAAGGTTTACATTCTGAGCTGAAAGGAACAACAGAAGTGGGGGAGGAGGAAGATGCTTGTTATGACATAAACACAGACTGCTGTTTTCTCATCATTTCTCAAAACATATTTGTAAACTAATTCCACCTCCCCTCTCTGTGTTGCTGTGTTCTACATGCAGTTGGCTAACAGGAGCTGATATATGCTTTTATTTAAAGCCAAAGCTTTGTCTCACTCTAATATTTGGTTTCACACTAATAATATTAGGTTTGCAGCTGGTAAATGTCAAATATATTCCCTTTGGATTCAGTTTAGGGTTCTTGAAAGGCTGTTTTATCTTCTAGTTTTTAGGCTTCTGAGATGATAGATTAGCTAGTTACTAATCAGCATATTTAACTTTTTAAGACAAGAAGTGTCCTTTCTCTCTTTGTTTTCCCTTTCTGAGCATAATATGGCAATTGAAGGAAGAATGTGGTCTTAATATACTCTGATAGCCTCGTTGGAAATTAACCTCGTTGGTAAAATAAAATAAGTTTTGCAAATCCAGTGAGCCTTTGTTCCACTTAGCTTGGACTCACATTAGCTTGGTTACTGAATCCCACGGAACATTACAGGAGAGGGAATAAATGTCCTGTCTGCTTCCTTCCTCTCTAATATCCATTCTGTCTCCTTTCAGTATTGCTGTTACTATATTTATGGAGGGAAGAGACTTTACTCAGTTGCTTGATAAAATATCTGGTATATGTTTTCCCTGAAGCAGGTTCACTGCTGTGCCAGCAATATCAGCTAAAGACCAATTTACACCACTTTAAATATGTGCCATCTTCTTCCTTTTTCAGACATTTAAATGTGAATGCTTTTTGGCGATAGCAAACGATTATGGAATGAAAGTACAGACACTGTAGGAAAAAGTTATGAAAAAAATACCAAGAGAAAAAAATGACTTAGCTGTGCACTTCAGCTGCAAATCTGCTTTGCAGTTAGTGTTTCCTTCAAGGCTTTCCATTTCCAGCTGTCCATATTAGTGACATGGGAGTAAACTGAAGAGCTTGAAGAAGACCATATGGTCCATGACTTGTAGAGCCAGAAGGAAGTTCAGCCAGTGCTTAATTTGTGCCGGGGCTGAGCCTGGACTCCTTTAGGCTTGGCAGTTCGTGGTCCTGGCACCTCTGGGCTCCCGGCCAGCAACCGCTGCTCTTCAGCCACCCAGCTCTGAAGGCAGCACAAAAGTAAGGGTGGCAATACACCATACCATGCCACCCTTCTGCACTGCTGCTGGTGGCTGCGCTGCCTTCTGAGCTGGACACCGCTCTTCGGCCACCCAGCTTGAGCCCCAGCACCTCTTTCATTACAAATTAAGCACTGAGGTCATCTCTGTTAAAAAGTAATGGTCGAGGAGAAAAGTTAGGTCATGGGGGGTTTTTTGTTCAAAGGAATAAAATGGAAGGACACCACTAGAAAGGGATTAGACAATTTCAACATTTAAAATACTAGGTGGAGCAGCTCTTTCATTCCTAGTAGAGATGAAGTTTAGATCACAGATTTTTTATTAATCTATCTCTTATTTATATCATACCCATTTACCATAGCCTCGGTTCTTAAGCTCCCGTCCCTAAACCATAATTGTCCCTCTCTATTTGGGAGAGGTCTAGTACCAAGGAACCTGGTGAATAACAGTGCAGGAAAGTTTGCAGTGTCTGCATGTTTGCAGTGTCTGCATGTGTAACCCACACACCTCCTGAGTGTGGAGTTCTGTCCCATCTAGTGGCACTGAGACCACTTAGAGAGAGATAAAATGAGTCTGCTCTACAGCCTTAACTAACAGCTTTTAGCTCATGCAGTAGAGGCTCATGCACTAAGATCCAGAGGTCCACAGTTCGATCCCGCCCACTGACGACCGGGGTCTGTCGGTGTTACAAGGGGGGCTCGTCTGGGATTTCAACTGGGAAGACACTGAAGCTCAGGATGTGCTTCCTCAGCTAGGGGAAGTATGTAACCTACACACCTTCTGGGTGTGGTGTTCTGTCCAATCTAGTGGCACTGAGACCACTTAGAGAGTTAAATGAGTCTGCTCTACAGCCTTAGCTCATAGCCAGTTGGCTTTCAGCACATGCTGTAGCGGCTCAAGCACTAAGTTCCAGAAGTCCCTGGTTCAATCCTACCCGCTGATATCAGCGTTACACATACGCAATGGGTAAAGCCAGGTAGGGCACATTCTTATTCTTCTTTTTTCATTAAAAAATAGAATTTTAGAAAAAAATAAATAAGGAGATTGTTGGGAAAATTGGGCTTCTGTATACATAACTCACAAGATATCTCTGTTCGTAACCTCTAGGATACAACTAATGATTTAGATAAATGAGATTTTGTTTGAATTGACTGTAGTTCAAAAAGACTTTTCCGTATTACAGGAGGAAACCATGAGGCTGTGTTTTGGCTAGAATTATACAGCTATTTCAGGCTTTTTCCTTTAAAAATCTATGGTATTGAAGTAAAATTATTGTAGGGATATGAAAAAGTATAGTTTGCTCTGAATATTTCCTTGGAGGACCAGCAGATCATTGCTTCTCTCTGAAATTAGGTAGAAGGACCCAGGTGGCAGATTTCAAGCTCGTCAGGTATTTAAAATATGCCCTTCAGCTGAAAAGAAGCATTATAGTTAAACCTGTCATTATCCCTTTATCATTCTGTGGTGCACTTGACAACTGTAGCAGTCAAAGAAAGAAGCCACAAGTAGTGATGAGCAGTCAGCCTGAAGTGGAATGGGTCAGTGTTTGGTTGCACTAGTTGCCCTAAGGGAAGTTCACATCCATTGACAGACTTACAGATGTTGGTTTGTGGAATCTTTAAATGTATCAGGGTGGGCTCACGTGGAGGTGTTGAGTTTCTTCTCATAGTTTCTTCCACAAATCATGCCAGGCATTAGAAAGGCAAAGTAAGTGACACGTGCTAAACCTCCCCCTTTGAATGTCTAAAGAATCTTTAGTAATAATAATATAAAGGAGTGCATCTGGGCCACTGCCTTGCACTACATTTCTCATCTGGCTCTCATTCAGAACTGTCAGGTTAGGCTGAGTGCTGATAATTCATACCCCAGAATCCTTTTATCTGAACATAGCACTATCTCCTCTGTGTAGTTTGGCAGCGGAGTTACACTGCTTTTCAAATATTTTTGAAAAGCAATCCAGGCTTTTCCTCCATCTTGACAAAGTGTTGCCAGTAATGAAGAAAAAGTAAACGTAGTTGTGCTGCTGTAGTCAATTTAAGTACTTTTAGCCAAATCATCTTGTAGCACAGAAGTGATTACTGCTGGATTTGGTGGGGATTGGTGATTTTGTGTGCGTCTGTGTCTGTGTTGATGTGTATAGTGAGACTGATTTGGTGAACCTAGTGCATTTTCTCTTTCTTTTCCTCTTTTTGCTTAATTTTAAATAAAAAAAAAAAAACTTCAGAAAACCACAGGAGAAAATATACTTTAACTTAGTGTACATTAGCAAGAAGATAATTCTACAGGCTGAAGGAATAAAAGTGTGACTGATCATGGTACTGCATAAGCAGGTGCCACTCTGCTGATGTCAACAGAGTAGCACCATTTATACCAGGAGTGAATTTGGCCAGGATTATTTTGAAAAGTGAATGATGTGGCTGAACTGAAATGAAGTGGAAGTAATGACATTATCATCCTAGAAAGAGAAATCTGTAACTAAGTATCCTGAGTTAACTCTATCTTTTGTCTTCATGTTTCATTTAATTTTAGATTCCAAAGGGGTGACTACCACATTGATGTCTGCATCAATGATTATTTGGATGTGTTCTGCCCTCACTATGAAGATTCAGTGCCAGAAGATAAGACTGAACGCTACGTTCTTTACATGGTGAACTTTGATGGCTATAGCTCCTGCGATCACACCTCCAAAGGATTCAAGAGGTGGGAATGCAATCGGCCTCATTCCCCGAATGGACCATTGAAGTTCTCAGAAAAATTCCAACTCTTCACTCCCTTCTCACTAGGATTTGAGTTCAGGCCAGGCCGGGAATATTTCTACATCTGTGAGTATATGGAGATTTGTCATTGTTGCACAACAGATGTAAGAAACCAGGCTAACTTTTTCACCTATGTTTTATGGAGCTGCAAAGGACCAGCCTATATGTGCGGCAGATGTCTCTTAGTAAATGCAGACTTCAGGATCCCCAGATTCATTAGCTGGGAATCTAGAGTAAAAATGAGATTAAAAGCAGTTTCTTTTCCCCACATGAAATAGCATGTCAGCCTGTTCAATGAACCTTTGCTGACATTTAAATCTAGAGATACTAGTATAGTTTTTCAAACATTCTAAAAATTGTCAGGGGAAAATAATTAACTTTGTTTGCATAAGTCCCTAACTGTTCTTATTTGTGTGACTGAAATACCCCTGCCATCATCATCGTCATCATCAGAGGGGAAATGCTGTATACCCTGAATATGCTATAGCTGCACATGCCAACATTGTAAAGTAATAATGTCTCAGGGTGAATACTTCTTACACCAAGCCAAAGAGATCTTTATTCAGAGCATCTGTTTCTTTAATTGTGGGGGATATGGAATGCAGTGGAAGCAGGTTCCAAGAAAATTAGCATGAATAAACACCTGCATCAGTAAAAAGTGATGGCGAATGCTGTGTGCTGCAAGCTGTGTTCCAAGGAGACTGCACCAATACTGCTTTAGGCATGAGATAGATGAGGAAGGAGGGAAACCTAGAGGAGAGGCAGGATAACTGCTGGGGATAAAGGAATAAAAATATCAGGAGGCTAAAACTGGAAAGTTGAGCTAACTGGGATTTCATGATCTCATAACCAGTCTGTCACTCCTTCAGTTAGCTTGTTTGGCTAATACTCCAACAAAGATCTCATTTCATCAATTGGTTATGTACCTGAAGTCTCCCGTTTCCTAACAAGCTTCCAGTATTACAACTGCAATATTTTCCCATGCTTTCAGTGTCAGACAAGGGAATTAAAAGCTTTAAACAGGGCTGTAATTCTCAATAAATATTGCCTTCATGTCTGTAGATGGCCTTTCTACTGTGAAATAGTCATTCCACCTCATTTCACCAGAGAAACTGAATACATAGCATTCCTATTTTTCAGCCTCATTTCTTCAGCATTTTCCTTTTTAAACCTACAGGGAAGTGTACTCATAGTGAATTGTTTTCAGCTTCCTTTCCTCCCCATCAAATAAAGTTTTATAATAAGAGGGATTTCAGCATCACAAGAATACTACCTTGTTCTCTCTCTCTTGCTGTAGTGCAATAAAAAAAAAAAAGAACTAACAGTTTTATCATTTCAGTACTGATTCCCTGAGATAGTCATGAGAAAACATGTAAAGCCTGATGCCATTTCACATCTTGTAAGTGAATAAAAAAGGGAATCATAGCTATGTGGAGAATGTTGTAGAATAAATAATACACATTGTTTGAGTCACTTTACTCATGAAAACCGCCTATTAACTTCCGAAGGAGTTTTCTGTCACTAAAGATTACAAAATCAGGCCCCGTGTAAGCATCAGGTTTGTCTTTTGGATGAATTTTTTCCTTCTTAAAAATCCCGCTGAGAAAACAAGCAGGGATATATAAGATGAGGAATGAATTCTAATTTGCATCATGTGATTGCTTTGCAATAAAATGCTATACAAGTACCATACCACACAAATTGTTCAAACCTCCTTATTTGCTTTCTAGATTAAAAAACAGTAATAAAAGTGAAAACCAAACAAGAATGTCGAGAAATCTCAACTTGGTCTTACTAGCTAATAGCCTGATTATCAGAAAATACAAAATCCATTGTGCTTTATAAGCAAGACATTATTATTCAAATGCACCCACGGTGCTTATGACTGGTTTTCCTCATTTGTGGTTAAATTCAATATTTCACCAAAAATCATTATGTGTCTTCTATAACATTCATTTAACGAAGTCATTTAACTGTCAAGGGTTCCCATCAAAGTAATTGTTTCAAAGAGCTTTAAAATATCAAGAGTTTTATGCTGTTCAACTAAGTTTAGCTGGAATTACTTTTTTTTAATGAAAGGTAAAATAGCACAAAATTAGCAGCTAAGAGATGTCCATTTACCAGTAGTATATTGGCCTGGTATTCAGTGAAATTAGATTTTCAGCCATGTTTCAGAGACACAAAAGCATTCTCTCTCCTTTGCTATAGTTGAAATATTTCTTCCTCTTCATTCTTTCATCATTGTGGGCAGTAGCACAGAGTAGCTAATACAGTGATCCCAGAGAAGCATCATATACTGTGGTAACAATTAAACGTGAAGATTCTCAAGGAACGGTTTTCCATCATGACATTTTTTTTTCTTCAAAAGTGTGCTGAATGAACAAGGTGGTAAAACAGTTCCTTGTTCCTTCCGTGAAGTTATCAGCATGCACTCCAGTGAAGGCCACAGAAACAAGCATTGCTACCTTACTGTCTGAATGGTTAATATGCTCATTGCTCTGCAGGGGGATATTTCATCTACTCATCAGATCCAAAAATTTTGACCTTTATAAACATGCTGTCCAAGGACAGAAAGCTAGTATCTTTCAGCTTGGTGTATTCTGTGAAACTGGATCCAAATTGTCCAGTGACTAGACAGCCTGAAAAGAAAGGGGAAATTGAGCTATTGCCTGGGGTGGTGTAGTGTTAGGCTAAATTTCACACTCCCTAGTATTTATTTGCAAACGTTTTTAAATAAGAGCCATTATCAATCTTCCTGCCTTATGCTTTAAGGACAATTTTTGTCCCACCTACTTCCACCAGTCTCAGGAAATGTAATAACCATAAACCAATCATTTTCTTTCTACCTGAACTATCCTTTTTATGAAATATTGCTTCCTTTTATTGCTCCATGTCCTCATTGGCATTTGGCACCCAACATGTATCAGTGGCATGGAATCAGATCTCCTTGTTCTTTATTTCTCCCATCCAGAAATCTTAGATTACATGTTTTGTATCAGATCATCTCTATTTGCATTTGAGAGATGACTTCAATAATATAAACCCACATACAAGAAAAATACCAGTTAAGTGGGTTTACTTTTGGAAGGGGAAAAGTTTATTAACTGGAGTTTAGTTCCAAAAACCTAACTGCTTACAGCAGTGTTTATTAGGGTAATTTTAGTGGAAAAAATAATGGATCAAATTATGGGGCTCAGTCCTTCTTCAGACTACCATCTCTGGAGGCTAGAGTGTGTTAGCCTGACTAAAAACCAAGTAAAGATCATGGGATGTGGACCTTTATTACTATTCGACAAAGAGTCCTGTGGCACCTTTTAGACTAACACACATGTTGGAGCATAAGCTTTCGTGTGTAAATACCCACTTCGTCAGATGCATGTAGTGGAAATTTCCAGAGGCAGGTATAAATATGCAGGCAAGAATCAGTCTAGAGACATCTGACAAAGTGGGTATTCACCCACAAAAGCTTATGCTCCAATACATCTGTTAGTCTATAAGGTGCCACAGGACTCTTTGTCGCTTTATTACACTGGTCTACAATTTTTGAGAAGTCGTCTGCTTCAGAGAT